ACTTACTATTTTTTTTACAAGTAATGCATATTTATTAAATTTAACAAGTGAGGAGTATATATATTTGTACATACAAGATAACTAAATATTCGAATGTTATTTTAACGTAATATAATTATGTTATTTAAGGACTAAATTAATATTCAATGTGTCTTAATTTCAAAATTATACAATTTATGAGTAATCAATTGTATATAAGCAATTTTTGTAGTTAAACCTCTATAGCGTTGTAGTTAAATGCGTTTTTCCGATTTAGCAAAATACGGAAAATTTTCTCTGTCTCTTCATCCCATATTTTTTAAAATTTTTAATGGGAAATACTTGCGTATATGTTTTAACTATAATATAAACGAAATTATTTTTTTTTTAGGACACTTTGGATGAGATGAAAAAGGTTGTAAGTTTTACAAAAATACATTTATTAAATATTAGAAATTAAAAAATCAAGAATAATTTTTATAATATATCGTTATTAATGGGTAATTTTTTCTGAAAAAGGCTGCCAAGTTCGTTAGAATAGTTGCGTAAGAACAAGTTGCATTTAAAATGAGAAATTATTAGACTCTCTAAAATATGAACTACAAAAATATATATACATATATATCATATTATCTTAAATTAAACAAATATAAATTTTAATTCTACGTATTATATCGTACTTCTCTATGATATATTTCTATATTAGGTTTATTTATTTCTGAAATACACAAAAGGGAATAAAACTATATGCTTACAGCATAAGCATTGTTTCATTTACAGAAATTATTACACATTTTGTTGTAATTTAATTGTAATTATTTTTTACTTTAAATCTGAAAACTTAGAACAATCATGTATTTTTAATTATACTTTTTTAAATTTTTATTAGCTCTAAAATAATACTTACTATTTTTTTTACAAGTAATGCATATTTATTAAATTTAAAAAGTGAGGAGTATATTGTATATTTGCACTTACAAGGTAACTAAATATTCGAGTGTTAATTTAACGTAATATAATTATGTTATTTAAGGATTAAATTAATATTGAATGTTTCTTAATTTCAGAATTATACAATTGATGAGTAAGCAATTGTATATAAGCAATTTTTGTAATTAAACCTCTGTAGTGTTGTAGTTAAAATGCGTTTTTCAGATTTAGCAAAATGTGGAAAATTTTCTCTGTCTCTTCATCTCATATTTTTTAAAATTATTAATCTGAAATATCTTGCGTATATGTTTTAATTATAATATAAACGAAATTATTTTTTTTTTACAGGAACCTGTGGCCTCTGTAAGTTCTCCAAAAATACATTTATTAAATATTATATATTACAAAAATCAAGAATAATTTTCATAATATGTAGTTTTTAATGGATAAATGTTTCAGATGAATTTTACGTCAATTTATGATCTTGATTTATGAAGTTCTAATGGCCAATAAAGATAAACTACGCCAGCGCATCTTTTGTACTCGCAACTATCTCGGGATCTTTGAAAGAGTGCGATAATTCATAATCCGATGCATCCAATCGTGTATTGAATCAAGTGGGCGATAATTCGTACATTTGTTTATAATTAAAATTTGAAATTAAATGCTATTAAATGTTAATAAATATTACTTTATTTTCCTTTATTAATAAACATCTTGAGCTGTATCTCAGTTTCCAAAGCATACAACAAATCTTGAAGTTAGTAAAAAAAAAGTATTTAAGAAGATATTTCGAATATTATAGACTTTATTAAAATTTCGTAGCTATTTCAAATTGAGTTGTTAATTTTTATTTATATATTTTAACGATGAGGAAAATATGTATGTCTCCCAGTGGCGATTTATTGACAATACTTGATTGAATGTAAAAATTTATATGTATAAATGAGGCTTAAAATTATAAATCACTTTGTATTTTAACTATAATATGTGTAATCAAAGATTAGAAATGACCACCGATTATCATACAGTAAAATATCGTTATTTTATATATTACGTAAAATTTTGTTTTATAAAAATACATTAACGTTTTATCTTAATGACTATATTTTATTTTCTTAAAAAAAGGTATTTATTACATTTACACATTTTTAAACTTATGAATTTATATTTGGATTTGAAATAAACTTAAAATTTATTTCTGTTAAACATAAACGATTTCAACAAATATCTTACTTCTATAAAAAAAAGTGTCATTCCATTCTTTACCAACAACTTTACCAATTTGTTTATAAAAAAAGTTCTGACAGATAAGTAAACTTAAAATGAGAGTTATATAAACTTAAGGTTAATTTAAAACTGTTTTGAAAAATAAAAAAAAAATTATCCTCATATAAAATAAAATTTGTACTTTCTGGTTCACAACGAAACTAATTATAATAGAAGAAGAAACATTTTTCTAAATAAAAACTAACAAAACATATAAAATATATTAAAAAAATATTATAATAAGTCAGGAAACTCTCTTATTTCTTTAGTTTCATTATTAATGTTATTACTGTCATGGCAGTTCTAGTTTTATTTTTAGTTG